AATATATAGAGCCCTCTATGCGCAGGAACACCACCTGTAATGTGCAGACAAATGGAGACAAAAACCAAAGATAAAAACGGACCACATGTAATGATGACTTCATCGGGTGCCCAGTCACGTGTCCCCAAAGGTGCACCCTTGAAAGCCCTATATCTCGGGAAGTCCATTGGTTCGAAACTTTGCAGATGTGGAATGTATCAAAGACGAAAAAGAACCCCGTGTGATGATGACATCATCAGGTTTTAAGTCACATGACCTAAAAGATACACTTTTTAAGTACATGTCCCATTGGGTTGAAACTTTGCAGATAACTAGAAAAGGAAAAGATATAGACGAAAATTGCTCTCCTGTGATGATGACATCATCAGGTGCCAAGTCACGTGACATTAAATGTCCACTCTTAGAAGCCTTGTATTTCCCGAAGGTGGTATCCAATCGGGTTGAAACTATGCAGATAATTAGATAAGGGTTCTAGACAAAAAAATGACCTCATCTGATGATGTCGTCATGGTGTGACAAGTCACGTGACATTAAAGGTGCACTCTATAAAGCCCTTTATCTTTAGGACTCTGGTCAATCCAATTGATTTCATATTTGTGTACACTCGTAGTACAACACGAAGAGAGGGTCCCAGAACTGAAAAGAAAAAGGTCCCAGAAAAAAAGCATCATCAGGTGTCAAGTGACATGAAATTAAAGAAGTTTTCTTTAATCTTAATAATAATAATTTTCTACTACACGTTATTTAACTCCGGCTCAAGATTAGAGAACAAAAGAGAAATCATACGTGTTACGCTATGTTTTAAATAGTATTTTGAATTTACCCAAGAGTCAGAATATCAAGTAATATTTCATAAAACATATTCAGTTTAAACGAAAATCACGTGATATGATCTTACAGGGGCAGGTTTTCTGCATATTTGTGTTTAGCCCACTGACTTTGTACATGTTTGCAAGCCACCATTGGGTAACTTTGCAATGTTCGTTATCAAAGCGATAGCCAACAAAGACCGTGATACGAAATTATTTCAATGAGAGCGTACAAGAACAAAATCGTCACAGCTCATAATCATACACAATCATCTGCTAAACAATTCGAAATTCCGAAACAGCACTTTGATTGTTTCTGTAACAAGAATCCTGTTCATCATCAAAATATCCCCTACGATCACTGTTGTTACAACCAAACTCACCGTTGGTTCTTGTGAACCTTCTCTTGTATAACTTTTCAAAGAGTGTGTTAATAATTACGATCGATGGGAAACTGTGAGCGCTGCCCTTTATGGCTGTAGTAGGCCTAAATTTTTTAAATCTGCCACTCGGCTCAAGACACACAAACAGTGTGTCCTGATTGGCAGTATATCGCAACTGTTCGCTGAAACGTTGGTCGATTTACATTTTTATGAGCGAAAAACTGCATGCAGTAAGAGCCGGGAAACAGCAGCGTCTGATATTACAATACAGAGCTTTGTCAAGGGGGATTGGGACGAATACGACATACGAATTTTATTTTGACGTTGTATTTTTACGTTTAGTTTTATTTGCTGCACACAAAACTGGGTGACGTTCGTGGTTGCAACATCATACGGCCTTAACTCTGCGTGCTAAGGAATACACAAATCACTCACCTTTGGCAAGAATCCGCCGTGCACACCCAGATGTTTAATTCAAATCCTGTTTAGACAAGACACATTCTTGGTGTCATTCAGATCATCCGATATTGCCAATCGATTTAGAGGTTTTTAACCACAGTATTTTTATTTCTTCCGACACAGGTAAGCTTGTTTTGATGGCGTCACAGTTTCAGTTCAACAAAGTATACTGACATGTACACGGTATACCATATGATTCGGTCAGCAAATGTAGGCCTACAGACCTTGGGCCTAATATTTGGCATTCAAAATAACAAGTTCCTCAGATCAATAAAACTGTTCAGTCAAAATCGAACTTAGTGCCTTGAAAAACGACGCTCTTGCAGGAGCGGAGCTTTGCCATGTTTAATTCCAAGGAGTTACAGTTGCTGACAGACAACTGAACTTTCTCTTCGATCTAGCTCAAAAACCGATGCACGGCATCGGAGTTTATAGTTTATTCCTCTTAAAACAAAATCACATTTTCTAGACCAAAAGGGGACTCACAAATACTTAAGCGTTGAAGGACGGAGTTTCAAGATTCAGTTTTGAAGTCTAAGAACTGGCACAACTGTTTGTCCATGCAGCGCTGGCCACGAAAATACCGAGAGACGTTCACGTGGGTACTCCACTATTTCTCGTTCTGAAGAATTCCTTTTCACACTGAAGTTGTGGTCTCATTGAAATTGGCTGATTTGCATCAAAACAGGAAACTCCTTTAAGAATTTGGGGTCAGCTCAATCTTTTTGAGACCAAAAATGGGGAGAATTTGAACGTAAATACATACATGCCGCCCGTCCATCCAGCTGAATGTTAACAATACTACTTTAAATGCCCTGAGCTGAGCGTAGCGCACATTGTTGAGTGGAAGGATATATACATTTAAGCCTGCATGGTTTCCATATCGACTTCAGAAATGCAGAGAGCAACGGAATCAAGACAAAACCTACAACGCAGACAAATGGAAACATGTCAAACGGAAGCGTCGCCAAAAACACAAACAAGCCTCAGAAGGATCGGCAAGGTTCAGCCCGGTTCAACTTTACCGACTGTCTGCGTCAAGTCACTAGTAGTAGGCCTATACAAACGCGCATGCTGGCATGACGGGCGTGCAACGATGTTTTCCTGGCTTAGTACCACTAGTTTGTCCATTTTCTCCCTGTTGCTAGCATATGCAGCACCAATTGTCAACAAAATAGCTGACCATTAACAAATGACATCGAAAAGGGATATTGGTTTGGCTTTAAGAGGTAATATTGCCACCTAAAAATTCTTTTTTTCAAAAATTTTCAGAGTTTCGGATGTCATTTTGTTAAATCTTTTGTGGAATGGCGTCTCTTCCGCGACTTTGTGCGTCTTGACGTATTGACGACCGCCTGCGTAACAAACGACAATATGGAAACCAGGCATAGATGTCCGAAGTAGCGATCGTAAAGGGCGTGTCCACATTGCTTTCCAGCAGTTTGAATGTACATGTACATGTACACACGAGTACATGGTAAATGGCTGCAATCATTTCTGATAGAGTCGTCTGTATAACTTCAAGCCGCAGCCAGGACATTCTGACATACCACGCAAGGAATGTACGATATGTATTGATCAGAAGTGCATCTTGAAACGGGGCTGTGTGCTTGAGAATGGTGCCGTTTACCAATCTATAACGAAGTCAGCGATTTGACTTCAAGATAAAGATTGCTGATTTTAGCCTACACGTGTAACACAAACAAGTTCACGATGAAAGGACAGTGTGATATGGCATTTACCTTCTCTCCTTTGTCAGCAAAAAGGTCTCAGACTTCATTTGCCCTTACGTCAATCCTTCTTGCAGATCAACTCCATTGTCTCATATTTCAACCACGGCTTGGAAACTTGAAGCCTTGCATAAACGAAACGCGCTCGTGTGACCCAACCATGTTTTGACAAATGGAAATAGGGGGCATCAACTACAAGGAGTCACCTTGGCATTACATTTCTAAGAGGAGAAATTGAGAATAGGCCTACGCCCTTGATATAGCAATTAATTCTTCCCGAAAAAAAGCAAGATATCATCATGCACGGGTGTCTTGCACAATATGATTTCTTTCTGCTTTCATTTAAAGAACACACATTACCTCGTAATTCAGGTCTCTGAGGTTTTTGTTTACAGCTAAAAGATAAACCAAGTAAACGCCTCAAAATCTGTATACAGGGCAAATCTTAGAAACGCTATTCTGACCTTTGAACTACAACGTACCTTTAAGAGTGTCAACACCTATATTTAATGTACACACAGGGGCTCAAGGGTCTTGAGTCACCTTTTTTATTCTTTTTATTTCTGAATATGATATATATAGCCTTTCGTCAAGGCCTTCGCGGCAGTATGTATGTGTCACTGCAAAGCCGCTGGACCGGAGACCACATGCACGAGTGGCGCAGCCACGAGGCAGTTTAAGTGTGTCGGCGGCCGTGAG